TGAGATTCCCTCTGTTATTGTGTCTACCAAGCTCCTGTTGTTGTCTATACCTTGGTTTTGTTGTCTCCCGAGTCCTTGTTGTTGTCTTTACCTTGATTTATTGTCTCCTCAGTCACTGCTGTAGTCTTTACCTTGGTTTTGTTTTCTCCTCAGTCCGTGTTGTAGTCCTTACCTTGGTTTTGTTGTTTCCTCAGTCCCTGTTGTTGTCTATACCCTGGTTTTGTTGCCTCCTCAGTCCCTGTTGTTGTCTTTACCTTGGTTTTGTTGTCTCCTCAGTCCCTGTTGTAGTCCTTACCTTGGTTTTGTTGTCTCCCCAGTCCCTGTTGTTGTCTTTACCTTGGTTTTGTTGTCTCCTTATTTACTGTTGTTATCTTAAGGTTGGTTTTGTTGTCTCCCCAGTCCCTGTTGTTGTCTTAACATTGGTTTCGTTGTCTCATCAGTATCTGTTGTTGAGTTTCCCTCTGTTATTGTGTCTACCAAGCTCCTGTTGTTGTCTATACCTTGGTTTTGTTGTCTCCTCAGTCCCTGTTGTAGTCCTTACCTTGGTTTTGTTGTTTCCTCAGTCCCTGTTGTTGTCTTTACTTTGGTTTTGTTGTCTCCTCAGTCCCTGTTGTTGTCTTTACCTTGGTTTTGTTGTCTCCTCAGTCCCTGTTGTTGAGTTTCCTTCTGTTTTTGTGTCTACCAAGCTCCTGTTGTTGTCTTTCCTTTTTATTAGCTCACCTAGCCTGAAGACGCATTGTCCGTTGTCCTTCTGGCATCACCTTTTTTTCTGTAAACAACGTATTCTTAATAACCAATTGGTCCAGGTTGATGATATTTTGCCAGAGTATACTGGGATGATGATGGCTGCCATGTTTGTTACATTCAAGATCAAAATTGTAAAATATGTTGAAAATTTTAAACAACTTCTGGTGAATAACCAAAATGCCTAGGGTGATGATATTTGGCCAGAAGCATGCTGGAATGTAGTGCTTCCAAGTTTGTTCAAATGAATGACCTTCACACATAATTGAAGTCACATGAGTTCAAATATGTTAAAATTTTTAACAATTTCTTCTGAATAATCTACTTGCAGGTGGTATTTGGCCAGCAGCATGCTTAGATGAAGAGCTATCAAGTTTATTCATGTCAAAGTCCTTGACATGCTTTCAAGATCACATATGGTCATATTTGTAAAAACCTCATCTTCACCATAAAAAGTCAAGGGTTGTGATATTTGACAAGTTGATGTTGGGATGAAGGGCTGTATAGTTTGTTAGACTTAATGTCCATATTTTACTTTCAATGTTACATGGGTCCAATGTGTTAAAACATTTTAACAGGTTCTTTTGAATTATTTATAGTCATAAATACTGACATTTTGCATATAGCTTTATTGTAGTCAACTTTTAAGGTTACAGATGCAGGCCCTTTTGGCCTCTTGTTTTGGTGTCTTTCAGTTCCTGGTCTTGCATTTCTTTTTATTATGCTGTTTCCCTAGTTCATGTTTAAGTCTTTCCTTACATTTTGGTGTTTCCTCGTGAATTTCTGTTGTTGTCGTCTTTCCATTTGTTTGGTGTCGTTTTGTTCCCTGTTGTTGTTTTTCCGTTGTCTCCTTTATTTCTGTTGGTCACTCTCCTTTTGTTCTGGTCTCTCCACAGTTCCTGTTTTTATCTCACATGTGAGCTTATGCCGTACTGCGGCGTCCGTTTTCCGTCCGTCAACTTTTTCTTTTGAACCACTTCTGAAGAAGAACTGAAGGACCTAGGGTCATGATATTTGGCCAGTAGGTACCTGGGATGGAGTGCTATGAAGCTTATTCATTAAAATGACCTTGACCTACTTTCAAAGTCACAAGGGTCAAATATGTTAAATCTTCAACCAGCAATATCCTATGAACCATTAGGACTAATGTCATGATACCTTGGTATGTTATGTAGACCAGCAGTGCAAATCTTTTTCTAAATTACTGTAATTTCAAGGTCACAGGGGTCAAATAATTATGTTAAAAACTTCAAACAACAATATCCGAAGAACTATTTGGACTAGAGTCATTATACTTGGGTATGGTATGTTAACCAGCTGTGTTAATCTTTTTCTTAATTACAGTTATAAGGTCAAATTTAAGTGCCAGTCGGCAGTCAAAGGTCAACATGGGATAAAAGCTTTAACAATCCTCTTTTCAAGTTCCATAAGGCCAAGGGTCATGATATTTGGCCAGTAGGTACCTGGGATAGAGTTCTATTTTACTTTTCTCATTAAAATTACCTTACTTTCAAGGTCGCAGGGGACAAATATATTAAAAACTTCAAACAACAATATTCTAAGAACCATTTGGACTATGGTCATGATACTTTGGTATGGCATGTACACTATCAGTGCGAATATTTTCCGTAATTACAGTTATGTGGTCAAAGGTCAACTTTAAGTGCTAGTCATGGGTCAAAGGTCAACATACTGTATGTTAAAAGCATTAATAATCTTCTTTTCAAGTTCCATAAGGCTCAGGGTCATGATATTTGGCCAGTAGGTACCGGGATGGAATGCTATAAAGCTTCCTCATTAAAATGACCTTGACCTAATTTCAAGGTCACAGGGGTCTAATATGTTTGGTCGAGAGTCATGATACTTGGGTATGATATGTAGACCAGCTGTGTTTTTTCTTTTTCTTTATAACAGTAAAGAGGTCAAAGGTCAACTTTAAGTGCTAGCTTGTGTCAAAGGTCAACATGGATTAAAAGCTTTAAAATTAAAATTTCAAATTTTAAACGACAATATTTTAAGAACCGTTTAAGAGATGTTAAAATGTCTAGTGTTCTACAGTTACCAAATTTTGTCTGCAGGTACCTATATGTCAGTTTCATATAACAAAAGAAACAGGTGAGCGATACAGACCCTCTGGGCCTCTTGTTGTCTTTCCTTTTCTTTAGGAGATTTCTCTGTTCCTGCTGTTGTCTTCCCTTTTATTTAGGTGTATGCTCAGTTCCTGCTGTTTACATAACAACTTTGCTTTGCTGTTTTTTTCTGTTATTTTTTTCTTCAAAATTACTGTCTGATTACAAGTGTTTTTTGGTTTTTTTGGAGGTTTCCTGTAATGTTAATAGGTGTCCTCTTATTTTCTATATGCTCACATGGAATAAGATCCTGCTTGAATATTAGGTGTGATATACATGTCTCATCTTCTCTTGGTTTTATTGAAGATCGAAAAGATTTATTTCAATTTTGATAGAAAATCATATTTATTTTTATTCTATATTAAAAAAATTGGAATGAATTTAGATTTTTAAAGAAAATATTTAACGATTGATGTTTGTGTATGAGACATGAAGGCTTATAAGATTTCATCTGTAGTTTTGATAGGGAATTAAATTGACAACTTTTATTTTGAATATCAAAATTGAAAGATTCAAATGTTTTTCTTTTTACATCAGGCCCCGGAATCTCACTACATGTACTTAATTTCTTAATTCTCAATTATTAACTCTTCATTCTTAAGCTAAGTACGTACTTAGTTGAGAAGTTCTCAAAATGGTGGATATCAAAGGCATTCTTAAATATTTGAGAACGTACTTAAGTAAGAATGTATTTGTTGGAACATAAGGGCCCGCCCCTCTTTGGAACTCTTTAATGAAAAAAAGTAATATCGGTGTATGAAAAACTGCGGGAAAGTTAGGATAGATAGTCACTTGCATTTTTTTCTGTATATACAGGCATTGAAAACTGCTTGACTTTAATTTGTTTAATTATGGAGATTCAATAGATTGATGACTGACATTTTTTTCTATTTAAGGTACAGCTACATGATATATCAGTTTTTTAAGGTATTCTCATACATGTACTTGACCAACATTTGAAAGTTGGAACAAATTAATCTGTTCAAATATAAAGTCAATAGAGTGATGACAAAAGGTGATAAACATGTACAGTACTTACTCGACACCCCCCTTACCCGTACACCACCACTCCCCATCGGAGGGGATATAGAAAAAACATTCTACACTTCAAATCAAAAAGTCTTGTACAGAATCCTATAACCAGTAGGTTAAATTTTCAAAAAATATTTCAGTTAATTGTTATCTCATAAAAAAGCGGCAGCACGTTTGGTATTCCCTTAAAACACCATACTTGTCTCGTCAAAATATGATAATTATCTCATTAAAACACAGCAGTTAATGAGATGAACAGCTTGTAATGAGATGGTTAACGGTTTAAAATATTTTGTTTTTAATTGACACTAATAGGCTGCCATAAATTAGCTTCCCTAGATTGAGATTGAACTTTTTCTAAAAATGCTATGACATTAATCATTGCATTCACAATATTTCCTTTACTGAAATTCCGGGAAAGATATGTAAGGAAATGAGCCTATCGTTATGTAGGTATTGGGGATAGGGTAATTTTACACTTGAATGGGGTCAGAACCTGCTCCAAATTCTAAACCCTCTGGTAAAATGTTCATTTCCGCCATAGCCACATATACATATAATGGACCCTAAGAGTCATTTGCCGATGTTTAAAGGACATCCTATGATATAAAACTGTATTGTAAGGCCAAAAGTTTTGGTTTTCCAATTATCTCCAAAATGTTTTGGCTTATTATGGGGGAAAAACAATAAATAAAACAAGCCATTCGTCTCCGCTTTTGTTTTTGACAGCCCAAATTCATGACTAATAAGACAATTCAAGTTGGTCATTTGTATTTAAGCACATTCACATGCTCCTTACCATTCTCAAATATTTAGCCCGTTCTCAACTTAAAATTTGAGAATGTAGACTTCAGAATCTTTCAGACACACTCTTTTTGAGAATATGCTGAAAGTTAAGCCTGTTCTTAAAGTTAAGAATTGAGAAATTGGTATAAGAAACTTTTAAGCACTAAGAATGTGTGTGTATGAAGGTGTGAAGAAGTTTCTTGATTCCAGGGCCAGGTTTCAGTTCAGTTTGAGTATAATTGTAATTATGATAACCGACTTACACAGTATTATCCGTTTAAAACAAGAATTGATTTTGTTTTAAATCAGGTGTCTAGTGTAGATTCTGACAGCCTAGCAGGGAAAGATGGCCGTATTGTCTCTGGTGATGTCTTACTGTCAGCCAATGGAGAGTCCCTGACTGCTGACAAAATGGATGATGTCATGGACAAACTAAACAAGACAATGTCATCTCATATTGTACTCGTGGTATCTAAATCTGACCTATTGCACACTTTGGTATCCATGGATACTGATCATCCCTATGATCAAATAGTGCCAAATTCACGAATGAAAGTTAAGGATGATGCTGTTCCTGACCTTGGAAATGTAGTTCAGACAGACAATAAGGTGATGGATGAGGTCATCGACAAAAGGTCTGAGGTCATTGTGAGTAAATCACCACCAAAGGCTCCTGTCAGCAAATTAGGACTACAGGTCACAGATATTGAACTACCACCACCATCAGAGATCACAGTAATAGATCCACCACCACCAGAGGTCATGGTAATAGATCCACCACCATCAGAGGTCAAGGTAATAGATCCACCATCATCAGAGGTCACGGTTATAGATCCACCTACACCAGAGGTCACGGTAATAGATACATCACCACCAGAGGTCACGTTAATAGATCAACCACCACTAGATGTCACGGTAATAGATCAACCACCACTAAATGTCACGGTAATAGATCCATCACCACCAGAGGTCATGGTAATAGATCAACCACCACCAGAGATCACGGTTATAGATCCACCTACACCAGAGGTCACGGTAATAGATACATCACCACCAGAGGTCACGGTAATAGATCAACCACCACTAGATGTCACGGTTATAGATCCACCTACACCAGAGGTCACGGTAATGGATCCATCACCACCAGAGGTCACCACTTCATCCTTAATACCAGTAGTTCCTGATGCTGTCAAAAATTCTGAGGTCAAGGTTCATTTAGGTTTGTACTAAAGCTTAAGAAATATTATCGATCAAATATTTGGTTTTTGAAAAACAGAAATTCAATACAAAAGCAGTTTTATATGATGTTTACGACACAGGAAAGAATGGGTCACATTGAACCCCAATGACTACCCCAAATCAATGCCTGAATGTTTGCTGTTTGATGGAGAGTTGTACTATTATCTTTATTTTAGGAAAGTCCTTATATGCATTGGTTTTGTAAATTTGTTTGAAGACATTGGACAAGTCAACTAATAACGTAGTGATGAAAAATATAACACTTCAGAATGCAGATGGAGTGAAACATCCCCTTTTGGAAGTTCATATAGTGATCTCGTATTACAGGGGGTCTCTTAATACAGGTTAGTTAAAAGTGGTCTCATAATACAGGGTGTCTCTTAATATAGGTTAGTTAAAAGCGGTCTCAAATTACAGGGGTCTCTTAATACAGGTTAGTTAAGTGGTCTCTTAATACAGGGGGTATTGTAATACAGGAGAGTTAAAAGTGGTCTCATATTACAGGGGGCTCTTAATACAGGAGAGTTAAAAGTGGTCTCATATTACAGGGGGTCTCTTACTACATGTTTGTTAAGTGGTCTCTTAATACAGGGGGTCTTTTAATACAGGCTAGTTAAAGGCGGTCTCTTATTACAGGAAGTCTCTTAATAGAGGTTAGTTAAGTTGTCTCTTATTACAGGTGGTAATTGAGGTAGTTTCTTGAGCTGGTTTTACTGTACTTTATTTCTACATGTGTAAACTTTACTAGATTGTTTGTCGAATGTTTGTAGAATTGAAAGAGTTTGAAATAATGTATTAAATGATGTACTTTCAGGTACATTCTCCTTTGAGATGCCAGTGTTTGACGACCCTGTAGATGACCAAGACAAAGAAGAATTTGATGTGGTCATGACCAAGGGAGTGACCGGACTAGGCTTTCTTATTGAAGGAGGCAAGGCCTCAGCCCGGGGGGATGTCCCCCTAACCATCCGCAGAATCCTCAAAAGTAGGGACATGCTGCAAACTTCAGTGTTTTTTCTCTACAAGCTTTCAAAATCTTTCAAAATGTTTGCTCTAATGAATCACTTTTTAATGTGATATTTGACCTAATCTGTATCAGATAGACTGTTCCTCTTTTATAGTAAAATGTTTAACAACAGCCTGTCAATACAATAATCTACTGGTTACATCTGGCTATCATGTTTCATATAATTTTAAGTGTTTTCTTCTTTAAAGTAGAACACCTTATTGAACAGATAGTAATGTACATCTGACCTATAAACTGTATTCATAAGCCTAGCAGACACAGGTTCTGAGTATAGCACTGTAAACCTCAGCCTAGCAGAGACAGGTGCTGAGTATAACACTGTATACCTCAGCCTAGCAGAGACAGGTGCTGAGTATAACACTGTATACCTTAGCCTAGCAGAGAAAGGTGCTGAGTATAACACTGTATACCTTAGCCTAGCAGAGACAGATTCTGAGTATAGCACTGTATACCTTAGCCTAGCAGAGACATATTCTGAATATAACACTGTATACATTATTCTAGATAAGACAGGTTCTGAGTTTAACACTGTATACATTAGCCTCGCGGATACAAGTGCTGAGTATAACACTATATACTTAAGCCTAGCGGAGACAGGTTCTGAGTATAAAACTGTATAACTTAGCCTAGTAGAGACAGGTGCTGAGTATAACACGGTATATCTTAGCCTAGCAGAGACAGATTCTGAATATAACACTGTATACATTATTCTAAAAGAGACATGTTCTGAGTATAACACTGTATACCTTAGCCTAGCGGATACAAGTGCTGAGTATAACACTTTATACCTAAGCCTACGGTGAAAACGTGTTTGTGTCCCAAGGCAATTCATTTTTTCCATGCATATTCAAATCATTATTTTACTTATACCTAAGGTTCCCCTTGGATTGGTTTTAAACTATTCAGAGAATGAACAAATTGTTTAGGTCCCTTATGGCTGGTTTTAAACTATTCCTATAATGAATCAATTCCTTTGGACCCCTTGAATTGGTTATAAACTATTCCTATAATTAATCAATTCTTTCGGTCCCCATGAATTGGTTTTAAACTATTCCTATAATGAATCAATTCCTTTGGACCCCTTGAATTGGTTATAAACTATTCCTATAATGAATCAATTCTTTCGGTCCCCATGAATTGGTTTTAAACTATTCCTATAATGAATCAATTCCGTTGGACCCCCGGAATTGGTTATAAACTATTCCTATAATGAATCAATTCCTTTGGTCACCCTGAATTGGTTATAAACTATTCCTATAATGAATCAATTCCTTTGATCCCCCTGAATTGGTTATGACCTATTCCTATAATGAATCAATTCCTTTGGTCCCCATTAATTGGTTATAAACTATTCCTATAATGAATCAATTCCTTTGGTCCCCATCAATTGGTTATACACTATTCCTATAATAAATCAATTCCTTTGGTCCCCTTGAATTGGTTATAAACCATCGCTAGAATGAACCAATTCCTTTGGTCCCCATCAATGGGTTATTAACTATTCCTATAATGAATCAATTCCTTTGGTCCCACTGGACGGGTTATAAACTATTCCTATAATGAATCAATTCCTTTGATCCCCCTGAATTGGTTATTAACTATTCCTATAATGAATCAATTCCTTTGGTCCCCATGAATTTGTTATAAACTATTCCTATAATTAATCAATTACTTTGGTCCCCTTGAATTGGTTATACACTATTCCTATAATAAATCAATTTAGTTGGTCCCCCTGAATTGGTTATAAACTATTCCTATAATGAATCAATTCCTTTGGTCCCCATCAATGGGTTATAAACTATTCCTATAATGAATCAATTCCTTTGGTCACCCTGAACTGGTTATTAACTATTCCTATAATGAATCAATTCCTTTGGTCCCCATTAATTGGTTATAAACTATTCCTATAATGAATCAGTTCCTTTGGTCACCCTGAATTGGTTATAAACTATTCCTATAATTAATCAATTACTTTGGTCCCCTTGAATTGGTTATAAACTATTCCTATAATGAATCAATTCCGTTGGTCCCCCTGAATTGGTTATAAACTATTCCTATAATGAATCCATTCCCTTGGTCCCCATGCATTTGTTATAAACTATTCCTATAAACAATCAATTCCGTTGGTCCCCCTGAATTGGTTATAAACTATTCCTATAATGAATCAATTCCTTTGGTCACCCTGAACTGCTTATTAACTATTCCTATAACGAATCAATTCCTTTGGTCCCCATGAATTTGTTATAAACTATTCCTATAATTAATAAATTACTTTGGTCCCCTTGAATTGGTTATAAACTATTCCTATAATGAATCCATTCCCTTGGTCCCCATGCATTTGTTATAAACTATTCCTATAAACAATCAATTCCGTTGGTCACCCTGAATTGGTTATAAACTATTCCTATAATTAATCAATTCTTTCGGTCCCCATGAATTGGTTTTAAACTATTCCTATAATGAATCAATTCCTTTGGTCACCCTGAATTGGTTATAAACTATTCCTATAATTAATCAATTACTTTGGTCCCCTTGAATTGGTTATACACTATTCCTATAATAAATCAATTTAGTTGGTCCCCCTGAATTGGTTTTTAACTATTCCTATAATGAATCAATTCCTTTGGTCACCCTGAACTGCTTATTAACTATTCCTATAACGAATCAATTCCTTTGGTCCCCATGAATTTGTTATAAACTATTCCTATAATTAATAAATTACTTTGGTCCCCTTGAATTGGTTATACACTATTCCTATAATAAATCAATTTAGTTGGTCCCCCTGAATTGGTTTTTAACTATTCCTATAATGAATCAATTCCTTTGGTCACCCTGAACTGCTTATTAACTATTCCTATAACGAATCAATTCCTTTGGTCCCCATGAATTTGTTATAAACTATTCCTATAATTAATAAATTACTTTGGTCCCCTTGAATTGGTTATACACTATTCCTATAATAAATCAATTTAGTTGGTCCCCCTGAATTGGTTATAAACTATTCCTATAATGAATCCATTCCTTTGGTCCCCATGCATTTGTTATAAACTATTCCTATAAACAATCAATTCCGTTGGTCACCCTGAATTGGTTATAAACTATTCCTATAATGAATCAATTCCGTTGGTCCCCCTGAATTGGTTATAAACTATTCCTATAATTAATCAATTACTTTGGTCCCCTTGAATTGGTTATACACTATTCCTATAATAAATCAATTTAGTTGGTCCCCCTGAATTGGTTATAAACTATTCCTATAATTAATCAATTACTTTGGTCCCCTTGAATTGGTTATACACTATTCCTATAATAAATCAATTTAGTTGGTCCCCCTGAATTGGTTATAAACTATTCCTATAATTAATCAATTACTTTGGTCCCCTTGAATTGGTTATACACTATTCCTATAATAAATCAATTTAGTTGGTCCCCCTGAATTGGTTTTTAACTATTCCTATAATGAATCAATTCCTTTGGTCACCCTGAACTGCTTATTAACTATTCCTATAACGAATCAATTCCTTTGGTCCCCATGAATTTGTTATAAACTATTCCTATAATGAATCAATTTATTTGGTCCCCCTGAATTGGTTATAAACTATTTCTATCAATGAATCAATTATTTTGGTCCCCCTGAATTGGTTTTTAACTATTCCTATAATGAATCAATTCCTTTGGTCACCCTGAATTGGTTATAAACTATTCCTATAATGAATCAGTTCCTTTGGTCACCCTGAATTGGTTATAAACTATTCCTATAATTAATCAATTACTTTGGTCCCCTTGAATTGGTTATACACTATTCCTATAATAAATCAATTTAGTTGGTCACCCTGAATTGGTTATAAACTATTCCTATAATGAATCAGTTCCTTTGGTCACCCTGAATTGGTTATAAACTATTCCTATAATTAATCAATTCTTTCGGTCCCCATGAATTGGTTTTAAACTATTCCTATAATGAATCAATTCCTTTGGTCCGCATCAATGGGTTATAAACTATTCCTATAATGAATCAATTGATTTGGTCCCCCTCAATTGGTTATAAACTATTCCTATAATGAATCAATTGATTTGGTCCCCCTCAATTGGTTATAAACTATTCCTATAATGAATCCATTCCTTTGGCCCCCATGCATTTGTTATAAACTATTCCTATAAACAATCAATTCCGTTGGTCACCCTGAATTGGTTATAAACTATTCCTATAATGAATCAATTTATTTGGTCCCCCTGAATTGGTTATAAACTATTTCTATCAATGAATCAATTATTTTGGTCCCCCTGAATTGGTTTTAAACTATTCCTATAATCAATCAATTCCTTTGGTCCCCTTGAATTGGTTATAAACCATCGCTAGAATGAACCAATTACGTTGGTCCCCATGAATTGATTATAAACTATTCCTATAATGATTCAATTCCTTTGGTCCCCTCAAATTGGTTTTTATCTATTCATATCATGAATCAATTACTTGGGTCCCCTTGAATTGGTTATAAACTATTCCTATAATGAATCAGTTCCTTTGGTCACCCTGAATTGGTTATAAACTATTCCTATAATGAATCAGTTCCTTTGGTCACCCTGAATTGGTTATAAACTATTCCTATAATGAATCCCTATAATAAATCAATTTAGTTGGTCCCCCTGAATTGGTTTTTAACTATTCCTATAATGAATCAATTCCTTTGGTCACCCTGAATTGGTTATAAACTATTCCTATAATGAATCAGTTCCTTTGGTCACCCTGAATTGGTTATAAACTATTCCTATAATGAATCAATTCCTTTGGTCCCCTCAAATTGGTTTTTATCTATTCATATCATGAATCAATTACTTGGGTCCCCTTGAATTGGTTATAAACTATTCCTATAATGAATCCATTCCTTTGGTCCCCATGCATTTGTTATAAACTATTCCTATAAACAATCAATTCCGTTGGTCCCCCTGAATTGGTTATAAACTATTCCTATAATGAATCAATTGATTTGGTCCCCCTCAATTGGTTATAAACTACTCCTATAATGAATCAATTCCTTTGGTCCCCCTTAATTGGTTATAAACTATTCCTATAAAGAATCAATTCCTTTGGTCCCGATGAATTGGTTATAAACCATCCCTAGAATGAATCAATTCCTTTGGTCCCCTTGAATTGGTTATAAACCATCGCTAGAATGAACCAATTCCGTTGGTCCCCATGAATTGGTTATGAACTATTCCTATAATGAATCAATTCCTGTGGTCCCCTTGAATTGGTTTTTAACTATTCCTATAATGAATCAATTACTTTGGTCCCCTTGAATTGGTTATAAACTATTCCTATAATGAATCCATTCCTTTGGTCCCCATGCATTTGTTATTAACTATTACTATAAACAATCAATTCCGTTGGTCCCCCTGAATTGGTTATAAACTATTCATATAATGAATCAATTGATTTGGTCCCCCTCAATTGGTTATAAACTATTCCTATAATGAATCAATTCCTTTGGTCCCCATGAATTGGTTATAAACCATCGCTAGAATGAATCAATTCCTTTGGTCCCCTTGAATTGGTTTTTAACTATTCCTTTAATGAATCAATTCCCTTGGTCCCCCTTAATTGGTTATAAGCTACTCCTAGAATGAATCGATTCATTTGGTCCCCATGAATTGGTTATAAACTAATCCTATAATGAATCAATTTAGTTGGTCCCCCTGAATTGATTATAAACTATTCCTATAATGAATCAATTCCTTTGGTGCCCCTGAATTTGTTATTAACTATTCCTATAATGAATCAATTCATTTGGTCCCCCTGAATTGGTTATAAACTATTCCTATAATGAATCAATTCCTTTGGTCCCCATGCATTGGTTATGAACTATTCCTATGAATGAATTAATTCCTTTAGTCCCAATGAATTGGTTATAAACTATTCCTAGAATAAATCAATTCCTTTGGTCCCCATGAATCGGTTATAAACCATCGCTAGAATGAATTAATTCCTTTGGTCCCCTTGAATTGGTTTTTAACTATTCTTTTAATGAATCAATACCCTTGGTCCCCATTAATTTGTTTTTAACTATTTCTATAATGAATCAATTCCTTTGGTCCCCATGAATTTGTTATAAACCATTCCTATATTGAATCAATTCCTTTTGTCCCCATGTATTGGTTATAAACCATCCCTAGAATGAATCAATTCTTTTGGTCCCCATGAATTTGTTATAAACTATTCCTATATTGAATCAATTCTATTTGTCCCCTTGAATTGGTAATAAACTATTCCTAAAATGAATCAATTATTTTGGTCCCCATTAATTGGCTTTTATCTATTCCTTTAATGAATCAATACCCTTGGTCCCCCTGAATTGGTTATAAACTATTCCTATAATGAATCAATTCCTTTGGTCTTCATGAATTGGTTATAAACTAATCCTAGAATGATTCAGTTTATTTGTTCCCCATGAATTGGTTATAAACTATACCTAGAATGAACCAATTCCGTTGGTCCCCATGAATTGGTTATTAACTATTCCTATAATGAATCAATTCCTTTGGTCCCCATGAATTGGTTATAAACCTTTCCTATAATGAACTAAAACCTTAGGTCCCATTGAATCGTTTTTATAGTTTTCCTTCAACTAATTGATTCATTTGTTCCCTTGGATTGGTTTTGAGCTATGCCTATATACAGTACTGTACATGTATATATAATAAACTAATGCCTTTGTTCTCTTGGATTGGTTTTGAGCTATGCCTATATACATGTATATATAATGAACTATTGCCTTTGTTCCTTGGATTTGTTTTGAGCTATGCCTATATACATGTAAATATAATGAACTATAATGCCTTTGCTACCTTGGATTGGTTTTGGGCTATGCCTGTATACATTTATATATAATGAACTAATGCATTTGTTCCCCTTGGATTGGTTTTAAACTACTCATAGAATGAACTAAAATATTAGGTCCCTTTGGGTTGGTTTTAAACTATTCCTATTATGGACTAATTCTTTTGGTCCCAGGAGGGCATGGGTTGGCTTTAAACTATACCTATAATGAACTAATTCCTTAGATACGCCGGGGTTGGTTGTTACAATAACATGTTGTACTGGTGGATAATCAATTTTAAAACCTAGAACATTATTTATTTCTATGAGCAATGTCGTTTCTTTATTATACCAGTCCGGTGGTGATGTTGGGTCAGTTGTTGCTATTATTTCTTTTAAGCTGGACCAGCAGTAAAGTGTGGTCAGTTGATGGTCAAGGACGAAATCCGTGAGATCAACGGTGAGGATATAACAGGGATGAGACACTCAGAGGCCTGGCAACACCTCAAGTTTCTTGATGACGGTGAAGTTAGACTGAAGATCTGGAGAAGGAAACGGGACATCTAAGTTACCTGCTAACCTTACCTGTCACAAACGTTCGTGGGATAGAATGGTTTTATCTTAAAAACAAGTTTAAGATGAATTACACAGCTGTCAGTTTGCTGGTGGTGATCAGTCCACATGCAGGTTATATTATCCCACTTATTTGGTTACTCAGTTTTTATGTGAATAAGGTATATGCAACCAATTTTCACGATTTTTAACTCGGTTTACTATGCTTATGGAGTATTTATGACCACAAAATAGCATAACATTATAATAGAAACTTGACATTTGAATCATAATTTTGTTTTAAAGAGAGAAATATTTTAAAGTAAGGTTCCTTGAGTTTGTTTCTAAGACAACTTAGTGACTAGATGAAAGTGAGACAAATCAGTTAAAAGTACTATTTCTTTTTCATTCTCATAAAACGTAAGACCAAATTCTTTGGGATGGAGTGATGTGTTATAAACTTTAATGACTGTTTATATATTGCTGTTAGGAAGTGAGTCTGGGAGAGATGGTGCAGCTGTATCAACTAATGACAATGTATGTATTGCTGTTAGGAAGTGAGTCTGGGAGGGATGGTGTAGCTGTATTAATTAATGACAGTTTATATATTGCTGTTTGGAAGTGAGTCTGGGAGAGATGATGAAGCTGTATCAACTAATGACAGTTTATATATTGCTGTTAGGAAGTGAGTCTGGGAGAGGTGGTGTAGCTGTATTAATCAATGACAGTTGATGTATTGCTGTTAGGAAGTGAGTCTGGGAGGGATGGCGTAGCTGTATCAATTAATGACAGTTTATATATTGCTGTCAGGAAGTGAGTCAGGGAGAGATGGTGTAGCTGTAATAATTAATGACAGCTTATGTATTGCTGTTAGGAAGTGAGTCTGGGTGAGGTGGTGTAGCTGTATCAATTAATGACAGATTATATATTGCTGTTAGGAAGTGAGTCTGGGAAAGATGGTGTAGCTGTATCAATTAATGACAGTTTATATATTGCTGTTAAGAAGTGAGTTTGGGAGAGATGGTGTAGCTGTATCAATTAATGACAGTTTATATATTGCTGTCAGGAAGTGAGTCAGGGAGAGATGGTGTAGCTGTAATAATTAATGACAGCTTATGTATTGCTGTTAGGAAGTGAGTCTGGGTGAGTTGGTGTAGCTGTATCAATCAATGACAGTTTATGTATTGCTGTTAGGAAGTGAGGTTGGGAGAGATGGTGTAGCTGTATCAATTGATGACAGTTTATATATTGCTGTTAGGATTGCTGTTAGGAAGTGAGTCTGGGAGGGATGGCGTAGCTGTATCAATTAATGACAGTTTATATATTGCTGTCAGGAAGTGAGTCAGGGAGAGATGGTGTAGCTGTAATAATTAATGACAGCTTATGTATTGCTGTTAGGAAGTGAGTCTGGGATGGATGGTGTAGCTGTATTAATTAATGACAGTTTATATATTGCTGTTTGGAAGTGAGTCTGGGAGAGATGACGAAGCTGTATCAACTAATGACAGTTTATATATTGCTGTTAGTAAGTGAGTCTGGGAGGGATGGTGTAGCTGTATTAATTAATGACAGGTTATATATTGCTGTTTGGAAGTGAGTCTGGGAGAGATGACGAAGCTGTATCAACTAATGACAGTTTATATATTGCTGTTAGGAAGTGCGTCTGGGAGAGATGGTGTAGCTGTATCAAGCAATGGCAGTTTATATATTGCTGTTAGGAAGTGAGTCAGGGAGAGATGGTGTAGCTGTAATAATTAATGACAGCTTATGTATTGCTGTTAGGAAGTGAGGCTGGGAGAGATGGTGTAGCTGTATCAATTAATGACAGCTTAAGTATTGCTGTTAAGAAGCGAGTTTGGGAGAGATGGTGTAGCTGTATCAATTAATGACAGATTATATATTGCAGTTAAGAAGTGAGTCTGGGAGAGATGGTGTAGCTGTAATAATTAATGACAGCTTATGTATTGCTGTTAGGAAGTGAGTCTGGGATGGATGGTGTAGCTGTATTAATTAATGACAGTTTATATATTGCTGTTAGGAAGTGGGTCTGGGAGGGATGGTGTAGCTGTATTAATTAATGACAGTTTATATCTTGCTGTTTGGAAGTGAGTCTGGGAGAGATGATGAAGCTGTATCAACTAATGACAGTTTATATATTGCTGTTAGGAAGTGAGTCAGGGAGAGATGGTGTAGCTGTAATAATTAATGACAGCTTATGTATTGCTGTTAGGAAGTGAGTCTGGGGGAGATGGTGTAGCTGAATTATTTATGAGAGTTTATATATTGCTGTTGTAGCTGTATCAATCAATGACAGTTTATGTATTGCTGTTAGGAAGTGAGTTTGGGAGAGATGGTGTAGCTGTATCAATTGATGACAGTTTATATATTGCTGTTAGGAGATGAGTCTGGGAGAGATGGTGTAGCTGTATTAATAAATGACAGTTTATATATTGCTGTTAGGTGATGAGTCTGGGAGAGATGGTGTAGCTGTAACAATTAATGACAGTTTATATATTACTGTTAGGAAGTGAGTCTGGATGAGATTGTGTAGCTGTATCAATCAATGACAATTTATGTATTGCTGTTAGGAAGTGATTTTGGGAGAGATGGTGTAGCTGTATTAATTAATGACAGTTTATGTATTGCTGTTAGGAAGTGAGTCTGGGGGAGATGGTGCAGCTGTATTAATTATGAGAGTTTATATATTGCTGTTGTAGCTGTATTAATTAATGACAGTTTATGTATTGCTGTTAGGAAGTGAGTCTGGGAGAGATTGTGTAGCTGTATTAATTATGAGGGTTTATACATTGCTGTTGTAGCTGTATTAATTAATGACAGTTTATGTATTGCTGTTAGGAAGTGAGTCTGGGGGAGATGGTGTAGCTGTATCAATTAATGACAGATTATATATTGCTGTTAGGAAGTGAGTCTGGGAGAGATGGTGTAGCTGTATCAATTAATGACAGTTTATATATTGCTGTTAGGAAGTGAGTCTGGGAGGGATTGTGTAGCTGTATTAATTATGAGGGTTTATACCTTGCTGTTGTAGCTGTATTAATTAATGACAGTTTATGTATTGCTGTTAGGAAGTGAGTCTGGGAGAGATTGTGTAGCTGTATTAATTATGAGAGTTTATATATTGATGTTGTAGCTGTATTAATTAATGAGAGTTTATGTATTGCTGTTAGGAAGTGAGTCTGGGAGAGATGGTGTAGCTGTATTAATTAATGGCAGTTTATATATTGCTGTTAGGAAGTGAGTCTGGGAGAGATGGTGTGGCTGTATCAATTAATGACAGTATATATGGCGGTTTGGAAGCGAGTCTGGGAGAGATTGTGTAGCTGTATTAATTAATGACAGTTTATATATTGCTGTTAGGAAGTTAGTCTGGGAGAGATGGTGTAGCTGTATTAATCAATGACAGTTGATGTATTGCTGTTAGGAAGTGAGTCTGAGAGATGGGGTAGCTGTATCAATTAATGGCAGTTTATATATTGCAGTTAGGAAGTGAGACTGGGAGAGATGATGTAGCTGTATCAAGTAATGGCAGGTTATGTATTGCTGTTAGGAAGTGAGTCTGAGAGATGGGGTAGCTGTATCAATTAATGACAGTTTATATATTGCAGTTAGGAAGTGAGTCTGGGAGAGATGATGTAGCTGTATCAAGTAATGGCAGTTTATGTATTGCTGTTAGGAAGTGAGTCTGGGAGAGATGGGGTAGCTGTAATAATTAATGACAGTTTATATATTGCTGTTAGGAAGTGAGTCAGGGAAAGATGGTGTAGCTGTATCAATTAATGACAGTTTATATATTGCTGTTAGGAAGTGAGTCAGGGAAAGATGGTGTAGCTGTATCAATTAATGACAGTTTATGTATTGCTGTTAGGAAGTGAGTCTGGGAGAGATGATGTAGCTGTATTAATTAATGACAGTTGATGTATTGCTGTTAGGAAGTGAGTCTGGGAGGGATGGTGTAGCTGTATTAATTAATGACAGTTTATATATTGCTGTTAGGAAGTGAGTCTGGGAAAGATGGTGTAGCTGTATCAATTAATGACAGTTTATATATTGCTGTTAAGAAGTGAGTTAGGGAGAGATGGTGTAGCCGTATCAATTAATGACAGTTTATGTATTGCTGTTAGGAAGTGAGTCTGGACGAGATGGTGTAGCTGTATCAATCAATGACAGTTTATATATTGCTGTTAGGAAGTGAGTCCGTTGGACAGGTGTAGCTGTATTAATTGATGACAGTTTATGTATTGCTGTTAGTAAGTGAGTCTGGGAGAGATGATGTAGCTGTATTAATTAATGACAGTTTATGTATTGCTGTTAGGAAGTAAGTCTGGGAGAGATGATGTAGCTGTATTAATTAATGACAGTTGATGTATTGCTGTTAGGAAGGGAGTCTGGGAGGGATGGTGTAGCTGTATCAATTAATGACAGTTTATATATTGCTGTTAGGAAGTGAGTCTGTTGGACAGGTGTAGCTCTATTAATTGATGACAGTTTATGTATTGCTGTTAGGAAGTGTAGGAAGTGAGTCTGGGATAGATGGTGTAGCTGTATCAACTAATGACAGTTTATATATTGCTGTTAAGAAGTGAGTTTGGGAGAAATGGTGTAGCTGTATTAATCAATGACAGTTGATGTATTGCTGTTAGGAAGTGAGTCTGGGATAGATGGTGTTGCTGTATCAATTAATGACAGATTATATATTGCAGTTAAGAAGTGAGTCTGGGAGAGATGGTGTAGCTGTATTAATTAATGACAGTTCTGTTGTAGCTGTATTAATTAATGACAGTTTATGTATTGCTGTTAGGAAGTGAGGCTGGGTGAGTTGGTGTAGCTGTATCAATCAATGACAGTTTACGTGTTGCTGTTAGGAAGTGAGTCTGGGGGAGACGGTGTAGCTGTATTAATTAATGACAGTTGATGTATTGCTGTTAGGAAGGGAGTCTGGGAGGGATGGTGTAGCTGTATCAATTAATGACAGTTTATGTATTGCTGTTAGGAAGTGAGGCTGGGTGAGTTGGTGTAGCTGTATCAATCAATGACAGTTTACGTGTTGCTGTTAGGAAGTGAGTCTGGGGGAGACGGTGTGTTAGGAAGTGAGTCTGGATGAGATGGTGTAGCTGTATCAATCAATGACAGTTTATATATTGCTGTTAGGAAGTGAGTCCGTTGGACAGGTGTAGCTGTATTAATTGATGACAGTTTATGTATTGCTGTTAGGAAGTGTAGGAAGTGAGTCTGGGATAGATGGTGTAGCTGTATCAACTAATGACAGTTTATATATTGCTGTTAAGAAGTGAGTTAGGGAGAGATGGTGTAGCCGTATCAATTAATGACAGTTTATGTATTGCTGTTAGGAAGTAAGTCTGGGAGAGATGATGTAGCTGTATTAATTAATGACAGTTTATGTATTGCTGAGTCTGGGAGGGATGGTGTAGCTGTATCAATTAATGACAGTTTATGTATTGCTGTTAGGCGGTGAGTCTGGGTGAGTTGGTGTAGCTGTATCAATCAATGACAGTTTATGTGTTGCTGTTAGGAAGTGAGTCTGGGGGAGACGGTGTAGCTGTATTAATTAATGACAGTTTATGTATTGCTGTTAGGAAGTGAGTCTGGGAGAGATGGTGTTGCTGTATCAATTAATGACAGATTATGTATTAATTGATGACAGTTTATGTATTGCTGTTAGGAAGTGAGGCTGGGTGAGTTGGTGTAGCTGTATCAATCAATGACAGTTTATGTATTGCTGTTAGGAAGTGAGTCTGGGGGAGATGGTGTAGCTGTATCAATTAATGACGGTTTATGTATAGCTGTTAGGAAGTGAGTCTAGGAGAGATGGTGTAGCTGTATCAATTAATAACAGTTTATATATTGCTGTTAGGAAGTGAGTCTGGGATAGATGGTGTTGCTGTATCAATTAATGACAGATTATATATTGCAGTTAAGAAGTGAGTCTGGGGGAGATGGTGTAGCTGTATTAATTAATGACAGTTTATATATTGCTGTTAGGAAGTGAGTCTGGGAGAGATGGTGTAGCTGTATCAATTAATGGCAGTTTATGTATTGCTGTTAGGAAGTGAGTCTGGGTGAGATGGCGAAGCTGTATCAATTAATGGCAGTTTATGTATTGTTGTTTGGAAGTGAGTCTAGGGGAGATGGTGTAGCTGTATTAATTAATGACAGTTTATATATTGCTGTTAGGAAGTGAGTCTGGTGGACAGGTGTAGCTGTATTAATTGATGACAGTTTATGTATTGCTGTTAGGAAGTGAGTCTGGGGGAGATGGTGTAGCTGTATTAATTAATGACAGTTTGTGTATTGCTGTTAGGAAGTGAGTCTGGGTGAGGTGGTGTAGCTGTATCAATTAATGACAGATTATATATTGCAGTTAAGAAGTGAGTCTGGGAGAGATGGTGTAGCTGTATTAATTAATGACAGTTCATGTATAGCTGTTAGAAAGTGAGTCTGGGAGAGATGGTGTAGCTGTATTAATTGATGACAGTTGATGTATTGCTGTTAGGAAGTGAGTCTGGGTGAGATGGTGTAGCTGTATCAATCAATGACAGTTGATGTATTGCTGTTAGGAAGTGAGTCAGGGATAGATGGTGTAGCTGTATCAATTAATGACAGTTTATATATTGCTGTTAAGAAGTGAGTTTGGGAGAGAGAGATGGTGTAGCTGTATCAATTATTGACAGTTTATATATTGCTGTTAGGAAGTGAGTCTGGGAGAGATGGTGTAGCTGTATCAATTAATGGCAGTTTATGTATTGCTGTTAGGAAGTGATTCTGGGTGAGATGGTGTAGCTGTATCAATTAATGGCAGTTTATGTATTGTTGTTAGGAAGTGAGTCTGGGAGAGATGGTGTAGCTGTATTAATTAATGACAGTTTATATATTGCTGTTAGGAGGTGAGTCTGTTGGATATGGTGTAGCTGTATTAATTGATGACAGTTTATGTATTGCTGTTAGGAAGTGAGTCTGGGGGAGATTGTGTAGCTGTATTAACTAATGACAGTTTATATATTGCTGTTAGGATGTGAGTCTGGAAGAGATGGTATAGCTGTATCAATTAATGACAGTTTATGTATTGCTGTTAGGAAATGAGTCTGGGAGAGATGGTGCAGCTGTATAAACTAATGACAGTTTATGTATTGCTGTTAGGAAGTGAGTCTGGGAGAGATTGTGTAGCTGTATTAATTATGACGGTTTATATGTTGCTGTTGTAGCTGTATTAATTAATGACAGTTTATGTATTGCTGTTAGGAAGTGAGTCTGGGAGAGATGGTGCATCTGTATCAATTAATGACAGTTTATGTATTGCTGTTAGGAAGTGAGTCTTGGATAGATGGTGTAGCTGTTTCAATTAATGACAGTTTATATATTGCTGTTAGGAAGTGAGTCTTGGAGAGATGGTGGAGCTGTATCAATTAATGACAGTTTATATATTGCTGTTAGGAAGTGAGTCTGGGGGAGATGGTGCATCTGTATCAATTAATGACAGTTTATGTATTGCTGTTAGGAAGTGAGTCTGGGAGAGATGGGGTAGCTGTATCAAATAATGATAGTTTATGTATTGCTGTTAGGAAGTGAGTCTGGGAGAGATGGTGTAGCAATATATAAACTGTCATTAATTAATACAGCTACACCATCTCTCCCAGACTCACTTCCTCACAGCAATACATAAACTATCATTATTTGATAGTTTATGTATTGCTGTTAGGAAGTGAGTCTGGGAGAGATGGTGTAGCTGTATCAATTAAGGACAGTTTATATATTGCTGTTCGGAAGTGAGTCTGGGAGAGATGGTGTAGGTGTATCAATTAATGAAGTTGGACTGCTGTGTCTATAAACAAAATTGCTTTCTTTCCTTAGAACCACTTTTATACTGCTGGGCTAAACTATCCAATATACCAATGTGTTAGCTCTGGCCAAAACATTTTTTTGTAACAACCTCAGATTTTATCAATTGTGTGCAAGATATTTAAAATTGGCATCAATTATTCTATGTACTCAGATGCTTTTCCTAATAAAGCCACACCAAATTAATGCTTTTTCTTAAATTTTGACTCTCGTCTGTCTGTCTTTCAGTTTGAATTGTTGTGTCATGCTGCAACATCTGTATTTGCGGTATTTCCTTAAAAAAACTTGTGAAGAATTTGACCCATCATATTTTGTCCAAAGATAATATGAATGTTTCAGACAATTTCCTGAATATTTGATGTTATCTTTTGGATCAATGTGAAATCCAAGATAGCAACCAAACCTCTGACTTGCTGAGACATCTTCACATTTGCGTTCAAAGTGTGGTCAGATGATGATTTGAACATCTTGGATCACATTAAAAGATCAGCAAAATGATCAAACATAACAAACAATTAATTTGGAGATTATCCTCTACATATTATGAATTACCTATTATTTAGTACATACATGTACATGTATACCCATTATACTGCGAATATGTTGCAATCCTGAAAATTAAACCCCAACACATTCAAGTGCTATACAGTTATATAAATGTTCACACAATAACTAATGCTTATGATCAGCCCAAAAAAAAGACAGAATGAAAGATAATCAAAATAGGTGAAGTCACTGTGCATAGCAGAGGAGACTAATACTTACAAAACAAGAGGTGAAGTCACTGTGCATAGCAGAGGAGACTAATTATTACAAAACAAGTGGTGAAGTCACTGTGCATAGCACAGGAGACTAATAATTACAAAACAAGAGGTGAAGTAACTGTGCATTGCAGAGGAGACTAATAAATACAAAACAAGAGGTGAGGTCACTGTGCATAGCAGAGAAGACTAATTAAAACAAAACAAGAGGTGAAGTCACTGTACATAGCAGAGAAGACTACTAATTACAAAACAAGAGGTGAAGTAACTGTGCATTGCAGAGGAGACTAATAAATACAAAACAAGAGGTGAGGTCAATGTGCATAGCAGAGAAGACTAATTAAAACAAAACAAGAGGTGAAGTCACTGTGCATAGCAGAGAAGACTACTAATTACAAAACAAGAGGTGAAGTCACTACATAGCAGAGAAGACTAATAAATACAAAACAAGAGGTGAAGTCACTGTACATAGCAGAGAAGACTACTAATTACAAAACAAGAGGTGAAGTCACTACATAGCAGAGAAGACTAATAAATACAAAACAAGAGGTGAAGATACTGTGCATAGCAGAGAAGACTAATAAATACAAAACAAGAGGTGAAGTCACTGTGCATAGCAGAGGAGACTATAATAAATTCAAAACAAGAGGTGAGGTCACTGTGCATAGCAGAGAAGACTAATTAAAACAAAACAAGAGGTGAAGTCACTGTACATAGCAGAGGACACCAATTATTACAAAACAAGAGGTGAAGTCACTGTACATAGCAGAGGAGATTAATGAATACAAAACAAGATGTGAAGTCACTGTACATAGCAGAGGAGACTAATAATTACAAAACAAGAGGTGAATTCACTGTGCATAGCAGAGAAGACTAATAATTACAAAACAAGAGGTGAAGATACTGTGCATAGCAGAGAAGACTATACTAATTACAAAACAAGAAGTGAAGTCACTGTGCATAGCAGGGAAGACTACTAAATACAAAACAAGAGGTGAAGTCACTGTGCATAGCAGAGGAGACTAATAAATACAAATCAAGAGGTGAAGTAACTGTACATAGCAGAGGAGACTAATAATTACAAAACAAGAGGTGAAGTCACTGTAAATAGCATAGAAGACTACTAATTACAAAACAAGAGGTGAAGTCACTACATAGCAGAGGAGACTAATAATTACAAAACAAGAGGTGAAGTCACTGTTCATAGCAGAGGAGACTAATAATTACAAAACAAGAGGTGAATTCACTGTGCATAGCAGAGAAGACTATACTAATTACAAAACAAGAGGTGAAGTCACTGTGCATAGCAGAGGAGACTAATAATTACAAAACAAGAGGTGAAGTCACTGTGCATAGCAGGGAAGACTAATAAATACAAATCAAGAGGTGAAGATACTGTACATAACAGAGGAGACTAATAATTACAAAATAAGAGGTGAAGTAACTGTACATAACAGAGGAGACTAATAATTACAAAACAAGAGGTGAAGTCACTGTAAATAGCAGAGAAGACTACTAATAACAAAACAAGAGGTGAAGTCACTACATAGCAGAGGAGACTAATAATTACAAAACAAGAGGTGAAGTCACTGTACATAGCAGAGGAGACTAATAAATACAAAACAAGAGTTGAGGTCACTGTACATAGCAGAGGAGACAAATAATTACAAAACAAGAGGTGAAGTCATTGTACATAGCTGAGGAGACTAATTAAAACAAAACAAGAGGTGAAGTCACTACATAGCTGAGGAGACTAATAATTACAAAACAAGGGGTGAAGTCACTGTGCATAGCAGAGGAGATTAATAAATACAAAACAAGAGGTGAAGTCACTGTACATAGCAGAAGGAGACAATTAAATACAAAACAAGAGTTGAGGTCACTGTTCATAGCAGAGGAGACTAATAATTACAAAAGTATGTTTCTGACTGTATATAAGATAACACAAATAAAACCACTCATGAAATTAGCCAAGTATACAACAATATAATTAGAGTTCACTATTAATGTCATTTGTCATCAGAAAGCATGATATAAAGTGAAATAAGTGGAATAAATTGTACCAGGTATACACAGGTGTATTCTAAAACAAGTACTCACTTTGACAGGGGAGGACACTGAGGCTAAACTGTGTGATGTCCTTCATTATGAGCTCGGGATTGATTCACATATAGATTTTGGGAATTTGCACCGTTTTTGCAAGTTTGTGAACGGCAAGCATCGACCCATAGTGGCTAGATGTAGTCACCACAAGGACCTAGAACTTGTTCGAGACAGTTCTTCGAAGCTGAGGGGTTCTGGATACTGGATCAACGAACAATTTCCAGCGGAAATTGAGGACAGACGTCGCAAGTTGTACCCTATGCATTACAGAATTGAAGGCTATAGGGTTAAGTAAGTACGTGATCGGCTCTACGTCAATGGTAATATCTACCATGACGCCCCCTCGGAGGGCGTAACAGAGACAGTAGCTACATCTTGATCCACACAGAGAGAAGCCACCCAGCAGTCCTACCGTGATGCTTTGGACCGGACGCCGACTTTTGGTCAACGCCATTCCAAGCGTCAACGTCGATTTACAGCTACGCCTACGCACTCGCCTATATAGGGGTGTCGGGGGGGGGGGGGATAACAATTAACGATAATACCAAGTGTGACCGGGCGAAATATGTGTCTGATACCGATATCAGAATTATTTCCTGGAACGTAAATGGTGGCATAGAAAATAAACTAAATGTTGCTGAATTCCGTTATGTTATACTTAACTATGATATTATTTTTTTCATCCGAGTGCTGGATTCCAAAAGGCTTTGAGGTAGAACTTGAGGACTTTCACGCAGTTGTTGTACCAAGGAAATTAACACGCTGTACACAAGGTGGTGGGTTGGTGTTACTAATCCGTAATACTATTTTTAAATTTGTAAATGTAGGTAATGATTTGATTGATACAATCATACCGGTTACTCTTGACCAGGGTTTGACCAGTTGTACTGATAACCTAATATTGTTATTTACATATATTCCACCTAGTTCATCTCGTTTTTATGAACAATATGTGATATCTTTTCAATTCTAGAAAACGTTATAAGCGAATATTCTGAATCCAGAAATGTAATGGTTATAGGTGATTTAAACAGTCGTACCCGTAATACAGATGGTTTTATTTCATTCGACAATTTATATGGCGGTATACAGTCACATAAAATCCATTTTTAATTACTTAAGTGATACTGATGAAGAAAGGCTTCTGCCGACCAGAACAAATCCTGATCCAGGAGTCAACGAATTTGGTACTAGATTGTTAAACCTATGTAAATCCTCGGGTAAAGAATTTTAAATGGTAGAGCCCTAGAAAATCTCTCTAGTGATTTCACTTTCTGTGCTGCAAATTGAATGAGTGTTATTGATTATATATTAATGCCATTTAGTATGTTTTCTGTTGTTAAAACAATCATGGTTTGCGAATTTGTTGAAATCTCCGACCATTCTCCATTGTACATTGAAATACACTATAATTTAGGTGGTGATGATGGTGATGATTATGATGAAGATACTGATTTTAATGATAGACCTGTGTATAAATGGAAGGAGGAGTATCAACTTTCTCGAATCTGTAAGAGTTAATTTAGACTTATCCAAGAAATCAGTTTTTATCAATGATGAATTAAATCAAGATTCTGTTGATACCTGTGTAAATAATTTTACTGATATTTCACTTGGGACTATGTACCATTTTTTTTAAGAAAACCGCCCAAAAATAACACTGATAATCCCCCTGTAAAGTTGACACCCATACCTTTTCTAGTTCCGAAGATAAGCCCTGGTTTAACGATCGTGTTAGAGCTCTACGTAAACAATATATTTAGTTGCTTTAAAGAAATTCAACATTAACAAATGTTACTGGACACACACTGTTCTTATCCGTGATAAAAAAGAGTACAAATCCTGGAAAGTAAGTTTAAGAGGCAATATTTGAGCGCAGAAGGTGATATC